GTAGTGTGGTTGCAGCCTAACGAACTGTATGCCCATCATGCAGCATGCAATTCTCATCACAAAAGGCAGCTCAGTCATCACTGCGCCATGCCTATCGAGCACAACAGAGAACAAACCTCTTTATTCCCTGGTGGAGGCCAGTTCCCGCACCCACAACAACACAACCAGTAGTGAGGCAGGATACATTGAACATCTTCAATATACTTAGACTGCGCTTGCACCGTCTACAAGCGCCTGGCCGAGATCTTCGCGCCTCTTCTAGGAATGGTGAACTTTGTTGCCTCGTTCTTGCCAGCCATCCTGGTCACAGCACCACTTGTGATAACTCGCTCGGACAGCGTTCCGGTTAGTCTCGCCCATGGCTGTGTCGTCTCTAACCCTCGGAACGTTTTGTGACAAGTATAGTCACGGCTGGCATAACGCAACTTCACCCAGTCCTAACCCAACACACACATAACCAACTGATCTCGTCAGAGCAGAGAATATGTTCCTGTTTGGAAGAAGAGCACCGAAAGAACCTCTCGCTAAAAGCAGCAGCATGCCATGATATAACGCATCGTAGAAAACAGCAAGCAGCGGCAGTAGCGATAGTACTTGCTAAACATGCAGCTGAACTGCAACTTTGTCCGCTGCGCGGAACGGCGATCGGACACGCACACGCACACACGCACACGCACAGGTCTGCGTGATCTAGAAGCGGCTGTCATCATAAGATACGCAAAGTGTGAAAGGGTATTAGAACGGGGCAAGCCTAGACCCGGCGTCTGGACCGCAACATGTACTTGATTAAAAGCATAGCCAGTCAATGGTCAAGCAGGTGCAATCACGCACATCCACACCTAGCTTACTACTACTATAAAGCGAATTCATAACTACAGGTATTGCACTTTCTACTGCAAATGCACAGTCGTGCGCTTCATCTATTGACAGCAGCCAAACCTATCATTTTACAGTCTCACTGGGTAGGTGACCTCGCCGGCACACACCGTATATTATATTGTATAATAACTGTTCCAACTACGGTCCGGAAGACACAGTGTGTCCACGTTCTACGCACAGTAGCTATCAGCAGTAGTTAAAAGTTACAAGCCCTCACTCTCGGGCTATGACAGAATAATCCGACTGTTCGCATCAAATTCCATACAGTTGTACATGTACATGTTCTACAAGTACAAGGACAAGTAGATGCACCAGGAAGTCGTAGGTTTACGACTTCCTTGATAATATGTCCAGTCCATTACAATCAGTGACGTTCGTAGCTACATGTAGGTCGGACGGTGCGTTGACCATGGTTGACCCCGTTGAACTTTTGCTACTGCAGTACAACGCCCTCTACAAAAAAACTCCCCTGTTAGTTTGCACAGAACCATCATTTACATTAGCAGCATATGTGAGCATAATGCGGCATAATATGATAACTTTTAGCATAAAAATAGCATAATTCGGGAATTTGTTCAGCAATGCGAAAAGCATAATTTCACGAAAATATTAGCATAATCCGTCAAGGCCTACATGTATATCTAATGCTAGTTTTGAACTAGTATTACTAGTATTAGGTTATAATACCAATCGTGCGCATGTGTCGACCGAAGCACAGTCATACTCTCCTCGTAGTCTAGATCTACATGACGTCATGACTGTGTTCTAGTACAGTCAGACTTCGCTTTACCGCGCACACATCCGTTTTCCACAAAAATGTCCGGATAGGCGAGGGAACCGGATAACCGAACACGGGGTTATGTAACTGTTGGATGCACCACGTATGCTGTAGATCTGTAGCCAGCTACTAGTATTTCTTCCGGATGGCGAGGGATCCGGATAAAAGAGGGCCGGATAAGCGAGGTCTGACTGTAGTACTGTTTCGACCATTTTTTGCAGTGTCGGAGTGCTGTTCTAGTGCGAGACAAACAAGCTTGAGATTCGAAAAAAAACCCACCATCTTTCTAGTTTTTCAGGTACGTGCATGTGTACAATCAATCATGTAACACACCGACACGGTCCAAAGAAGAGCCGGCTAAGGGTAGAATGCATCGAAGGACAAAAAGAAATACCTGTGCATGGTCACACTTTCAGTTTGAGTAGCTGTTGAATGTAAAGAGCAGGGAGTCGTATAAACCAGGGAGTCGTATATACAAATGTACATGTATATACGACTCCCTGGTATAAACCGTGGTTAATTAAACGACTCCCTGGTAGTGAGCCGCTTTGTGATTCCATTACTTCTTTTTGTCTCCGAGTCCAACAAAATCGTTGTAGTCGAGTCATGGCTTGTTTGTACGTGACCACTGTACTGTAGTGTTATGTTTTCATTGCTACCACTACCAGGTTCGGCCTCATTTCCTCTAGCTCTGTGCACATGTGCTACGCTGATGAGTCCACAAAGGACGAAACAGTTCTGTGCGCAGATTGAGTACGTAGTGTACAAATTGAATCAAAGTCATGTATTTCGCTCCTGCTCTTGTCTTTGTAGCACTAGCAGTTGAACAAGTGTTTGTTCACCAATATTTTTCCCTTCTTCGTTTTTGGTTTTGCTTTCTTTCTCTTTTTTCTTCCCTTCTCTTCTGGTATCATGTCTAACATTGGGTGTGGCCCAAGCGAAGGCTAGGCTAACGCCGATGCCAACGCGAAAGGGCTGATGATGCTGATGATGATGAGCAGTTGAACACTCTTGACAACTTTCTTGTGTGAAGTACTAGTACAATAAGTGCCTTTGCTGTATACATGTACATGTATGCGTTACAGGGGCGGATCCAGGATTTTTCCAAGCGGGGTTCAGTTTTCTTCCACCCTTACCAAAGTGTGTTAAAATGATGACATAAAAAAAGTAAAAAAAAAGTGCTTTTTGAAAATGAAATTGGCTGCCGACTGATCGCCTGCAAATGTACAGTGCCTATAAAGCGGATAATCAAAAGTATTGTAGAATGGAGAGGATGACGACGACTGATGGAAATGAAATTTGCTGGGATACAGTGGTTAACAGGGTGGTTGCTGTCCTGCCGACGGATAGGCATGTATGAGCAAACAGATTTTAGCATTTTTTCAGCTCAAAAAGGGCGATATTCACCAAAAAAACGCAATAAAGGGCGAAAGCAACGGGCTTTTCCAAAAAGGGCGAAAAAAGGCGGGCACCTTTGGGAAAGGGCTAGAGGTTAGGCGCTCTGATCCCATTGTCGAGCGCTCGAGCGCAGGTAGTGCTTCAGCCGTTTCAAGGCAGTGTTGCTACGCTCATTCTACAGAGGTGACGGGTAGTGTTGAAGCAATCCGGAGGAGGACGTGGATGTTCGGGAAAACATCGGCATCGAAATGCACAAGAGCTTCTTGTGGGGTAGCTGGAAGTGCACCAGACTTCTCTGCTGCGTCCTTCCATTTCCTGAACAATTTTCGGATGTCAGTTGATATACATGTAGTTGAAGAGCTTGGCAGATCATCAGAATACGTGTCGACCAAGCGTTGAATGTTGGCAACTTGGCAAGGTGTTCGTCTGAGGATCATATCAATGTATCAATGTAACATCTGCATGATTCAGCTCGGGCTATAATTATATGCGCTACGGCAGGCCAGGATCCTAGGATCCTAGGAGCAATTCGCATGTCTGGCTTTTGTAAAAAAAATAAAAAATAAAAAATAAATGCACCATGGTCGGACAAATTTTAGGGGGTTCGTTCGAACCCCCGAACCCCCCCCCCCCCCTGGATCCGCCCCTGCGTTATGCAGAGCTCACTGACTTGTCAGTTTGAGTAGTACTAAAAAGTCTATTGTTTCCTCTGCGCTGTGCTGATGAGTCCACGAAGGACGAAACAGACTCAGTGCTGTCCGCAGATCATTGAGTACTGGTAGTGTACCATCATGCATGCATGATTGTAGTCATTGTGGCGACGCGGAATTTTTGATAATAAATTCTGACATGTCACATGACAATCGACATGGCAACAGCGAATCCTAGCGCGACTTGCCGTGCTTTGAATCAGCCACTGAAGACCTGTGAGCGCTTGCAGGTCTCCGATTTTCCAATCGGAGCACGCCCAGGCGTGCTCCGATTCAGCCATCAGAGGCCGCTTTTTTTTTTTTTTTTTTTTTTTAGGCGGGAGTTTTTTAGGCGGGAGTGGAGCGCCGGTATGAAAGACTAAGTGCATAGTGCATTATGGTTGAAGAATGCAGATGTGCAGGGACTTGCTACAAGTGCTTTGTTAGTTTGATGTTGAACAAAAGAGAAAAGAGATGGCTGCAGTTCTGGATGGAGAGTCTCCAACTGCAACCAATGCTGCTACCCGTGCTCTTACAGCGCCAACAACGAGCGTTCAGCGATCACAGCAGCAGACTGAGTTCCACGATCCCGACATTGATGAGTACATCGCAACTTGTGACCCAACAGTGCAATCCCCAACTCACCAACGGTCTCTGATGCAGAAAGCTACGAAGACCATCAACTTTTCCGGAGCTCAGTTTGGTGCAAACTGCAATGTTCACCTGCACCTGTAGGCTGTAGGCTGTAGTCACTGCGAAGAAGAGAAGCTGAACTGACCTGGTTTTTAGCTGACTAGACCGCCCTTGTTTTATCTCTGTGTTGTGACTGTGTACATTAGTCATTATGTAACATGTCTGAAGTACTAAACTGGCGACTAGTTGTGTTCCTTGTCTGGTCTAGTGTGCGTGCCTTGAGTAGGTACTAGGTATGTGTGAAGTACTACATGTAGTAGTACTAGTAGTACGAAGTAGTTCGTGCAATGCATGTCAGAAATGGTATCAAAGCATTCGTACTCGGACTCAAGTGCTAGAATCGGAGCCCTCCGCGCTAGCGCGCGTCGGGCTCCGATTCCGCACTTTCGTCCTCGTACTCATGCTCGATTCCATACATAAAGGAATGCGATCGGATTTTGGGTGTTCATTCAGGGCACGTAGATCTACATGCTAGCTAAGCGCGTAGATCTACCGACCGTCACACTTGACGTGCCAAGGTGCAATGTGGGCGCAACGGAATACGTCTCGAATTTCGTCGGTCGTTCTGCACAGGTGACTCAGCTCCCGCACGTCCTCGGCTTCGACTTTCGACGATGAATGCTTGGACGATGACTCGACGATATGTCGACAGTAGATCTACGGTGCATTCCAAGATCAAGATCTAGATTAGCAGATATGCGGGTGTATGCGCGCACTTCCGTGAAGTACTACTACTAGTAGTACTACCGACCCGTGGAGTGTAGCCTGCTTGGGTCAGTGAAGCCACTGAAGGTCTCCTTTCCGGCAGTTCAGAGCAGTTCAGATAGAGTTTTGGCCTGCTGAGCGATGGACGAAGTTTAATTTGCTAGCTCTACTTGTCCAAAGAGGCAAAGTGTTGTGTTCATAAATAACTATGGCGTGTTCCAAATCCCTGGGAAAAGGCTCACAACTGACGTTGCCCGGGCCAGAATGTACTTCGAACTACTAGTTCCTACTTCAGCGCATCTATTGGTGTAAGTATTCGTCGCATCCTGCGCCTGTTGGGGTGGCGCGTCAGCTACCAGAGTACGTTCATGTCCAACCTACCAGGACTTGAAACTCGTGTTTCTGGAAGAAAAAATTAGTTTTCGTCGCAGCATGTCATCCACTTGTAGAGGCGACGGCAGGATGGACCACTTCTGCCGATTGATCCTCCTTCTAGTTCTGGTGCTGAGCTTGAGTGCGCTGCCGGTGGTGTTAGTGGGGGCACAGTGTCCGGTGCTGCAAGCCAACGAGTCACACGTGGAGCTCTGTGCAGATTCCTGCGAGGTAAGAACTTGTTTTCGTATTTTTCACGTTCAGTATTTGCCTATCGAACGCCGCCCGTACCCTACAACTGCGCACATGCTGCACATGGCGCAAGTGGAAGGAAGTACCAGCACTGCAGTAGGGTTTGAGGAGTACCCTGACTTGAATCATAGTTGACTGGGGCGTTGGTTTGGTCCACACGGGACGGGAGTGTGCAAGCAGTACGGTAATACACTGTATCGGACACGCTCGTGCCGAGTCTGGGTCAACTGGTGATGATGGAGTGATACAGTAGACCTGGTTAGCATTTAACCGTTCACGCTATTAAACTCCGACCATCAGTGTGTACCGTTTTTTGTGTGTTTTCAAGACATGGTTAGTATTTCGGTTCCTGACATAGCGATCGACTTGTGACGTAACCCTAGTTGGAATCTTACCGTTTCGTTCTCCTGCTAAACAGCGCCTTCTATCGTCAAAACGATACCAAACCGAGGGTAATTTGGGTGTTGGGTGCGAGTACGGTTGGGTTTAGCGTGAGCGATAAAATGCTAACCATGTCTATTGGGTCCGAAAAACTGGAAAACTTTTTTTTTTCTGGCGGAAGACGGCCGACAGTCGACGCATTCCGTCATTCGGATTATGAAGTCGTAACCCATTGAGTGCTTTGTATCGTAAAGCCTTCCGTATTCCGTATTCCAAGTACATGACCGGCTGTACTGTATAAGTACAATTTTTCGATCACACAATCTTTCGTTAGATCACTCCACCAGCAGGTTCTTTACCAGAGGTGAAACCATTATACCGAATACTCGAAATAGAAATCGTTACAAGCCAACGAATCGATTATTCGAAAAGTTTCGATTGTTCTATTACCGGTATGCATTTTTATGTACTTCCATTCCTTGACCCTTCTGAACGTTCAGGGTGACGGATCTCGACCAAAAACGAAGTTTAATACGTAACGAATAGGGGACAAGAGAGTAGACGAGAGCGAGAAGAAGAAGAACGCAATAATCAATAGAGAACCACTGGAGCATGCGCTCTTCTGTACTTGATGGGATCTCATTGCTATGGTGAAGGAGCGGGACATGCGAATAGTGAGTATTGTACTTGAATACTGAATAGTATTTGACTATCTTAGTAGTAGTAGTGCGCCTATTTGATACACAGGTACTAAGTGTCGTCCTCCAAACTTCACGTGAAATTCGAAAACGACGGCGATCAAACAATTCCGGTAAACATCGTTGGTTACAGCAGCGTCCCGGCCCCATGGCCTCTACCAGTGGTCACCTGGAGGTTGGATAGTTCCGTTAGGAGTTTGGAGAGGATTCGTTGAGCGGATGCATCCACACTTTATTCAAGTCACGGCACGGAAACACAGCGAGAAAATTGAAGAACACATCGTCGCCAATCCGCAGGTATCCGCCGAAACTCAGTGCACCTCTTCATTGCATCCGCAATAGCCCGTTGCTGGTAGAAGCCTCCAGACAAAGCGGCCTTGTGCACTCCCAGTGTTCGATTCTCCTTGTCCGAGTAAAAGACCATTTTCGTCACGTGCTTAGCATACAGGCTGCGAATATAGTCGGCGTTCTGGAAGTGTGGCCAGTTAAAAATGACAATCAACAGAAGATGTGCGAATGGCAACTGCTGATCATGCGTCTGCCCGTGTATTGGGGAATTAGTGCTTGGTCTTCTAGTTTTCCGCTCGATTGCAATGGACTTGTTTCCGTGGAGACCTCTCCAGGCGTCACAACACTTCTGTCACATTGAACTGCACAGGCTGGGACGCATGCTCAGGCGCTGGCTGGCCGGCGATATTGCAGTTGGCTTGAAAGAATTCTTCAAACGAAATCCCTGGTCCTGGATGTGTGTAGAATACAATCATGGTGCGGCGATCATCAACGGGACAGTTGCCAACAGAACAGGAACAGCGGCGTGATGGCGTAGTATTTGCGGCATCCTGGCAGGTGTTCGCCTGGCCATTATTTATCCTCGTGGTCGGGCAGCAACTGATTTTGGTTCGTACCTCCGCTCCGCTCGATTTACTCCATTTGTACTAGTACCAGTAGTCCAAAGAAATGTAAACCAGTGCGTTGTCGACATGTCCCTGCACAGCGACTTTGTGACTTTGTCACACTTTTCCAGCTTGCTGGGAAGACTCATGTACGAGCTCCGTGTGACTGACTAGACTGTGATGCATGCTGGTACAGTAGTGGCATGGGTAGCTAGCTGTCCATCCAAGGCTGCAAGCACAGTCAGTGCACGCCCACTTGACTGATACTACTGTAGGACATGTATATATAATGAGGAAGCAAATCTAACGTTTTAACGGATGACATTTCTTCGTTATAATAAGATCCGTTGAGGCCGTATTGCTTCATATATGCTGTTGTGGATATGGCAGAATACTGCAAGATCGTTAACATATCTTCTCGTTAACCTATGAATTTTGTACAATCGTTAAATTTGCGACTCGTTATAATAACATGTCTTACAGTATGTTGAAGTTGTGGGCGTCCTCATCCCGCTGTTGCAGGGCAAGTGATTCCGAGTGAAGCTCAGCTCAAGATACCGGCACGGAATGCTTGCACTGCACTGCAGCAGTCACAGATGGAGTACAACCCCCTAGCCCTGCCTTGATTGATAACTACCAGACTGCACTGCAGCAGTCACAGATGGAGTACAAGCCCCTAGCCCTGCCTTGATTGATAACTACCAGACTGCACTAAGTAACTACAGTAGTACTAGTAGCATGTTGGCTGATGGCCAGCATGTTTACAAGGCAGAGGCTGCAGGACACACACTTGACTGGAGTCTGTGCTGAGAGCCACACTCCCTCCCCCCCCCCCCCCCCCCCCCAGAATAATAATATTCGCGGGATCCGCGTCGGCATCGCTTGAATGTTCAGAAACACACAAACTAGCCTTCACTTCCGAAGGCCACCACTATGCCTGTTAACCTTAGTGGCGAATGCAGACCTCACAAGTGAGTCAGGGGAGAGGAGGTTAGTAAGAATAAAGAGGGTCTAAACCGGGGCTTGACCCGGTTTAATTTAACTACTCCCTGGTTCAAATACATGCAGTCACAAGACCGGGACAACCAATGATGACTGTACTGTGTAAGTACAAAATTAGTTCACGAAATCTTTCCCTAGATCACTCCACCAGCAGTTTCGTTACGTACTAAAGTTCGTTTTTGGTCCAGGTCTGTCACCACGAGCGTTCAGAAGAGGCGAGGGATCGAAGTTCGCTTCGTTGCGCAGGCACTAAGTGCCGTCCTCCCAACTTCATGTGAAATTCGAAAACGACCTTGTTTGGCCCCATGGGCGGAGCCCAGAATAACTGGGAGTTGTACATGTACGTGTAGTTAGATGTTTTCAGTTTTCACCCAAGCAAGGCTTATCTGATAATATACATGTAGCCGCTGCAAGTGACGTGCATGTACATGTATGCCTGTTGTCTGTATTCCTGCACCTGACCACACAGTGAAGGTGCCCGTGAGATAGTGTATAGGCAGGGGGTGTTGGACACGGTACGGACACTGAACGGTCACTGCGGTATTGAGCATATTACCTGTTGCCCCATGTACCCTTGAATCAATAATAATTATAATACACTGATTTGGGCTCTAAATTGCCGAAATATTCGCCTCGGCCACCTCTCCCAAGCGAGTAAATTGTACTTCAGATGTTTGACAGTACCACACTAAACTACCTATTGTACTTCAAATTTCTGACCACGCCACAGTAAAATACCTTCCACCCCCCCCCCCCCCCCCCCATAGCTCCAGCACTACAGTGACAGTGTATTGTCAAGCCTCAAGAGTCCTTGCTTGTGGCCTCTTCATGATAACGTGCAACAGCTTTTCAGTGGCTCGGAAGGCAGTGTTTGATTTGAGTGTGTTTGTGTTCGCTGCACTTCAACCAGTGACACCTCTTAAGTACCAACTCACCTCATTCTCAATTCTATCAATGAGCTGGGGTTATAAGAATGAGTCTAGTCTATTAATTTAAGTCCAGCGGGAGTGCACTTCCTAAGCAGTGCTTCCCAGGTATGGTGTGGAAATAGAGTTCCTTATGACAAGAGCTGTTGTAGGCTAGCATGTGGTGCTTCCCGTCATGGAATCGTGCTGCCAACTCCTCAGCCATTCTTTGTTCCCAATGGCCTAAATCACTCATGGAGAGATCTTATCTCATTCACAGCATGGTGTTACTATCCTTTGGAGTACAGTCATGCACTTTGATTCGTTCTGGAAATTAACAGGGGGGGGGGGGGGGGGGGTGTGGGGGGGGGGGGCATAGATGGTGAATGAACTCCTTGAATCCAGCAGGGTGTTACAGCCCATTGGAGCACTTTTGTTTCACCCTGGGAATCCAGGGGGGGGGGGGGGGTAGGGGCAGAGGGTGAATAAACTCCTTGAATCTGCTGTTTATCATTGCAGCCACATTTTCTATTTCCCTCCGCGTCCTTAGCTTCTCGTGAGAACTGAACATTCTCCCATTTCCTGCAAATATTTTCTGTAATCATTTTCTCTCTATGTTTTACATCCTGCAGAGTCAGCTGAGAAATAGAAATGTGTCATCGAATGAAAGCTATGTAAGTTCTCCCTGACAGAGACGTGGATATTTTGCCTCCAAAACTTTCAGACACAAATAATGTCTACGTGGCCGATTTGTTCTTGGAAATTGCTGGAAAATGAGGAAATTCAACCAACTTCCTTTAGGAAGGCTTTCAAGTGGTTAGGGCTTGAGTATTTGTATGTACTTCTCAAGCTCAAGCTGCTCTGGCCTTGGTCATGCACATCCTCACTTGGTTGTGTGCATTCATGTACATGTACTTGTTATTATTCCCGTAGCTATGCAGAAGACGTTACTTCAGTAACGTCTGGCGCTAGCCAGGGTCCACACAGCTTTAATTCCCGTAGCTATGCAGAAGACGTTACTTCAGTAACGTCTGGCGCTAGCCAGGGTCCACACAGCTTTAATTCCCGTAGCTATGCAGAAGACGTTACTTCAGTAACGTCTGGCGCTAGCCAGGGTCCACACAGCTTTAATTTGGTGTTTGTTTGTGTGTTTGTTTGTGTCACGCCTGGCGCTATCTGTATCTGACGGCAAAAAAGCATAGGATGTTATAAATTTTTCAATTCTCCTTTTTTGCAAGCATATCCTGGGATTCGAACCCGCACTATCGCCCTACATGCATTCCCCCATACACTTCGCATTCATACCCATTCTTCCAAGTTGCTTTACGTTATTATCTTGCGTTTGAAAGCCCTATTTGAATATTGCGTGCAGCTGTATGTGGCCAGCTGTGTTTGATGGTACGGTATGGTACGGGAGACGGTGTCGTATTACCCTCGATCGTACCTGTCCCGTACCTATCCCCTACCGTACCGTGCCATCAAAGACGGCTGGCCACAATGCATATTCAAATAGGGCTTTCAAATGCAAGATCACAATGTGAAACAACTTGGAAGAATAAGTATGTATGCGAAGTGTATCGGGGGATGCATGCAGGGCGCGCGATAGTGCGGGTTCGAATCCCAGGTTATGTCTTTAAAAAAAAGGAATTTTTTAAAGAATTTATAACATCCCTATGCTTTTTTTTGTCTAGGTCATCAAGGCAAAAAAGCATAGCGTAGGGCCCTGAGCTTCCAAGCTCTCTCGTTTGGTGTTTGTTTGTGTGTTTGTTTGTGTCACGCCTGGCGCTATCCGTATCTGACGGCAAAAAAGCATAGGATGTTATAAATTTTTCAATTCTCCTTTTTTTCAGGCATATCCTGGGATTCGAACCCGCACTATCGCCCTACATGCATTCCCCCATACACTTCGCATTCATACCCATTCTTCCAAGTTGCGTTACGTTATTATCTTGCGTTTGAAAGCCCTATTTGAATATTGCGGGAAGCTGTATGTGGCCAGCTGTGTTTGATGGTACGGTACGGTACGGGAGACGGTGTCGTATTACCCTCGATCGTACCTGTCCCGTCCCTATCCCCTACCGTACCGTGCCATCAAAGACGGCTGGCCACAATGCATATAACTCAAATAGGGCTTTCAAATGCAAGATCACAATGTGAAACAACTTGGAAGAATTAGTATGTATGCGAAGTGCATCGGGGGATGAATGCAGGGCGCGCGATAGTGCGGGTTCGAATCCCAGGTTATGTCTAAAAAAAAGGAATTTTTTAAAGAATTTATAACATGCTATGCTTTTTTTTTGTGTAGGTCATCAAGGCAAAAAAGCATAGCGTAGGGCCCTGAGCTTCCAAGCTCTCTCGTTTGGTATTTGTTTGTGTGTTTGTGTCACGCCTGGCGCTATCCGTATCTGACGGCAAAAAAGCATAGGATGTTATAATTTTTTCAATTCTCCTATTTTTTTTCAGGCATATCCTGGGATTCGAACCCGCACTATCGCCCTACATGCATTCCCCCATACACTTCGCATTCATACCCATTCTTCCAAGTTGCTTCACGTTATTATCTTGCGTTTGAAAGCCCTATTTGAATATTGCGGGCAGCTGTATGTGGCCAGCTGTGTTTGATGGTACGGTACGGTACGGGAGACGGTGTCGTATTACCCTCGATCGTACCTGTCCCGTACCTATCCCCTACCGTACCGTGCCATCAAAGACGGCTGGCCACAATGCATATTCAAATAGGGCTTTCAAATGCAAGATCACAATGTGAAACAACTTGGAAGAATGGGTATGAATGCGAAGTGTATGGGGGAATGCATGTAGGGCGATAGTGCGGGTTCGAATCCCAGGATATGCCTGAAAAAAAAATAGGAGAATTGAAAAATTTATAACATCCTATGCTTTTTTTGCCGGTAGATACGGATAGCGCCAGGCGTGACACAAACAAACAAATGTATGCGAAGTGTATCGGGGGATGCATGCAGGGCGCGCGATAGTGCGGGTTCGAATCCCAGGTTATGTCTTTAAAAAAAAAGGATTTTTTAAAAGAATTTATAACATCCCTATGCTTTTTTTTTGTCTAGGTCTTCAAGGCAAAAAAAGCATAGCGTAGGGCCCTGAGCTTCCAAGCTCTCTCGTTATTTTTATTATTTTAATTTTACAAAGACCACTTAAATGCCAAATATGAGATGGAGCCTATAGGGGAAGCACGCACAACCTGAATCGTGGCAGTGGTGGTGAGGTTTAGGAAGCTCCGCCGACCTGAGGTCTCGACTCCATGGCCACCTAGACGCATGTATGTGTGTATGTGTGTATGTGTACGTGTGTGTACATGTGTGTGTGTGTGTGTGTGTATGTGTGTGTATGCGCACGTGTGTGTGTGTGTGTGTGTATGCGCACGTGTGTGTGTGTGTGTGTGTGTGTGTGTGTATGTGTGTGCATGTGTACGTGCGTGCATGCATGTGGGTGTGTGCATACACATGTGCTTTTCCGCAGGCATTACGTCGCGAGGCTGATTCAATATTTTGTTACCAATACTGTGAATTGGCCTACACGCGGGGCCTTTGCCATTGTCGGACAGCCAAATGCGTAAGTATTGTGTTTATTTTCTACTTTTTTGCCTCTTTCTTTTCCGTTATAAGAGTGTTTGTTTAGTATTCCTTCCATTGTTACGTACTTTCACCGAGGACCGTAACAAGAAAACGGTTCTGAACACTTTTTCATTGTACCATGCGTCTGTTTTTAAAAGCGTATCGTCTCAACACATGGTTTCCTGCAGTCAGTGCCGTATTGTCCAATATAGTCGACAGTGATTTAGAGATGCGTGACAGTAGACTGTTTGGTATCCTTGAGATTCTTACACTTGGCTATCTCATGAGTGTGGAGATGTACTGGAAACTTGGAGTTTCAAAAGTGTTCCCTGCTGTTCAGCCTGTCTTACTAACCCTTGCTCTGAATGTGTGTGTGTGTGTGTGTGTGTGTGCGTGTGTGTGTGTGTGTGTGTGTGGGTGTGTGTGCGTGCGCGCGTGTGTGTGTGTGTGTGTGGGTGGGTGTCTGTGTGTGAATATATATATATGTGTGTGTGTGTGTGTGTGTGTGTGTGTGTGTGTGTGTGTGTGTGTGTGTGTGTGTGTGTGTGTGTGTGTGTGTGTGTGTGCGTGCGCTTGTGTGTGACCATCCTCAGTGGAGATCATTACCCTGCCTGGTGGCATGCGGCATAGCTGGTAAGAACCAGGGTTACACCAAAGTACAGTACTTCATTGCGTACATTACTTCACGGAGTTTTTTTGTAGCTGGCAATGGGTTGCTGTCAAATCATCATGAATGACGTGTTCGTACAAGTAACTCTGACAGTGTGCTGGTGACAGAGTAACTGTTGCCTACATGTTAGGGTTGGTCTGCATTCTTGTTATCGACAATACTGCGGCGTGTTTGTGTTTGTGTGCACGTGTTTGTGTGTGTGTGTGTGTGTGTGTGTGTGTGTGTGCGCATGTGTGTGTGTGTGCACGCATGTGTGCGTGTGTGTGCGTGCGTGCGTGTGTGTGTGCGCATTTGTGTGTGTGTGTGTGTGTGTGTGTGTGTGTGTGTGTGTGTGTGTTTTGGGTTCACATGGCGTCGCCAGTTGTGTGGATAAGACCGTTTATCTGGCGCTAGTCTTGATCTGTTTCTTTCAGATTCAGGTCTGCTGTCGTTGCTATGAGAGAAAATCTGTGGGTGCACATCCGATGCATTTGTAGATTAGCGTGCTTCTCTTGCGACGGGCGTATATGTAATGTACATAGTACATGGTTCATGGTGTGTGGGTATGTGTTCCAGTGTGTACTAATTGTTGCTCTCTTCATTGTTGGGGAACTGTGTGTTGCTCCCTACATGGGAGCACGCGGTTATCCTGCCGACTTGAATTCTCACTTGACTGACTCACGACTGCCATCCAGTGAGCACACTGAGAGGTCCATTGAACCGTCCACTCGGCAAACCTGCAAGAAAGCACCGCTCCCTGCTCAATACACACAGTGTTTCGGGGAATTCACCCCTCATCGGCACCCCCAAGCATCGCCGAAGTAGCACCAACCTCTCTTGATTGTTGTTGAATATTTTCCCGCTGTACAGGTGTGTTTGACCATGTTGCTAGCGGCACGAACACACTGCAGACCTGTCTACGCACAACCGTGTATCCGGACAGGAGTATCTCGATGGACGTGGCGTGGCTACCACTTGTCCATGATCTCAAGCACCTTGGTTTGATCAGCACATACGGAGCAACTTACAGACCAGCGGATAGTGTCAATGACGGAAACTTCGTTGTTGACCACCCGCATCAAGTATACCGAAACGTAAGTATTCGTATGTGTGTGTGTG